TAGCCATATAATTGAGTGCACGTGCAAATTTACGAACATATCATAAATTATTTTCCAATTTGGGTACATAAAGAATATATTTGAGGGTTAGATTTGGGTTTACTTTGATTGAACCCACACCCGCTACTTTGGAGGATGTGTGTAGCACCCGGTTCCTGGTATGTATTTCATTCAAGTATTTTTCACAATTTGGACTAAGACTCGGCGAGTTGATGGCCCAACTCGTCGAGTAGTAGCGACTTGGACCCGGGGGTTAAGTGGCGGACTCATCGAGTCGGCAGCATGACTCGACGAGTAGACTCTGGCTGGACAAAACCCTAATCCAAGGGTTTGCACCCTATTTAAACGTCTTATTCAGCCTCCCTCGTCCCTTATGCTCTCAGAACCCCCCTCACATCAAACCCTAATCGTCCTCAGTGAAGATCTAAGGCCTTTTTGGTGATTCTTAGTGGTTTGTGGTGGCAAGAAGGAAGGAGAAGCTTGAGGAACCAAAAGGTTGGCCAGAGGAGTCAAACTTGTGCATCATCTACAGTTCTTGCAAGGTATAAAGTCGATACCTTGCTCCTTCTTGTAATAGATCCCTTTTTGGGGAGATTTAGGGCTTTTATAAGCTATTCTTGGTGACCAACCATGATTGCAAGCATGGTGGGGGTTAAGGTTTCAGATCCAGGCTCATTAAAGGGATTAGAAGGCAGAAAGGGACTGCCTTTGCACCCATGGAAAGCCCCATGCAACTCAAGAGCTTCTTTTAGGGTCTTTTTAGCTCATAATCCCATGCATGCACGTAAAGTTCGTAACTTTACGTGCTATATCGATCTTAGGAGCCTAGATCTATCATTTGGACAAGTGTTGTACATCAGAAATCGAGAAATGAGACTTGGACAACCTCGACTCGGCGAGTTGTTCTTGGGACTCGGCGAGTCCGAGGCTTGACTCCCCTTTCCTGTTAGGGTTCAAAGGAACCCAATGAGTGTTAGAATGGTCTTAGAAGGGTCCGGGGGGAGTGACCCAACGCATTGGACTTAGCCATAGACCTGGAGTTCATAGGACTCGACGAGTGCATGAGCAGACTCGGCGAGTCCAAGGCAATCTCCCAACTTTTGAAGATGAAATCGACGAGTTGTTCATACAACTCGGCGAGTCAAGGACATGACTTGTTTGTAGGACGAGGATGAACTCGACGAGTTGTTCATACAACTCGGCGAGTCGGATGAAGGTTCATTCGAGGTTGTTTTAGAAGGAGAACCCGTCAAGTCATTGCTAAACTCGACGAGTAGAAGCGTGAAGAAGGACAGATGAAGGGTAGAGACTCGACGAGTTGGAGGCCCAACTCGGCGAGTCAGGTCAACTGGAAGTTGACTTTGACTTTGACTTGGTCAGGGGTAAAATAGTCATTTTACCCTAAGAACAGTTATCAGTGTCTGACTAAGTGTTTTATGGGGATTATAGCCGGAGGATCACCGAAGCAGCAATCAGACATCTGTCGATCAGCTTTTCAGCAGTCAGCCTTACGAGGTGAGTTACCTTCCAGTAGGGGTGGGTCTAAGGCACCAATGCCGGCCCACCAGTAGGTGATTATGGTTGAGATGGTTATCTTTGTGATAATTGTCTGGTTGTTATATCTGTGCTGAGTATGTGTTAAGTAGTAGTAGGGCTCACTAGCCCTGGTTACCGGTTGAAAGATACCGAGGACAATTACCGGTTGAAAGATACCGAAGGGGTGGATAAAACCCATGCATGTATAGTAGTATGATTATGATATGTCATTATGTGACTCTGTATGCTTATGTATGTTATTATGAAACCAATATGTTGATGACCTGTAATATGTGATAGGGATAGGGATGAAATAGTCCCCAGATACCGGTTGAAAGATACCGAAGGGGAGGTTAGTTCCCAGATACCGGTTGAAAGATACCGAAGGGGAGAGTAGCTCCCGGTTACCGGTTGAAAGATACCGAAGGGGAGGGTAGCTCCCGGTTACCGGTTGAAAGATACCGAAGGGGAGGGTAGCTCCCGGTTACCGGTTGAAAGATACCGAAGGGGAGGGTAGCTCCCGGTTACCGGTTGAAAGATACCGATGATTATGTGTTATGGGTATGATGGGGGAACTCACTAAGCTTCATGCTTACAGTTCCAGTTTTGGTTTCAGGTACCTCTTCGTCTAAGGGGAAGGAGCGGGCGGTGTAGCAGCGCATCACACACATACATGTTTTCCGCATGGAGCTTCCTGGGAATGTACTCTGATTTACTTTACTTTTGACAAAATGGTTTTATGGGGACATGTTTTGGATTATTGAGACATTGGTTGTGACATGAGATATCATTATGAATGTTTTTATACCGATGGTTTTATGTTATCATTTATTTTAAAAACGAAATTTTTGGCCTTAAATTTTGGGATGTTACAATGTGCGATCTGCAATTTTTACTGTGTGATGTTCTGGAGTTGCATGAAACTCATAAATAATGCTCGGATTTCCTGTCATATGATCTGATGCTCTAGAATCAAGAATCTAAGGGTTAATATTCTTTTTATTGACCATAAGGGCTAATGAATGGTTACCTTTAGTGGTCAACAACCCTATACTAAGAGTGGTGTTTGGTTGAATGGATTGACTTAGAATTTTTTGAAGTGCCTCCAATTGCTCTTTGGTGAAAGGAGATGAATTGGATGTGTCCCCTTTTCCTTCTGCAACACTTGAAAGAGTAACAACCATATTTCCATGAGTTTCTTTGTCTTTACATGATTTTGGTTTCTAATCAGCAAGTTTTCCATGAAGTTTCCAACATGTTTCTCGATAATGTCCAGATTTACAACAATGTTCACACCAAGTTTGTCCTTTTTGTTGTCCTCGGGCAGCAAGAGTAGAAGAATATTTAGTTGATGGATTAGGGGAAGCACCAAGCATGGACTTTTTCTTGCTATCTTCCTGTCAAACCTCTGAGAATGCTTCTTTGGCATGAGGAAGAGGCTTGATACTCATGATCCTACTCCTGACTGCATCAAGTTCTTTATTGAGTACATGAAGAAACTTGAAAGTTCTCATTTTCTCACCGATATTTTGGTATAGAGTAATGTCATCAGTACACTTCTAGGAATATGGTTCAAATTTATCTAACTTATGCTAATACCGAGTAAGAGCGTTAAATTATTGTGTGATAGAGGTGTCTTCTTGGTGGAGGTCATAAAGGGCGGCTTTAATATCGAAAAGTTCTGATGTATTTTTAGAATTGGAGTAGGATTCTTTGACAACATCCCAAAGCTCTTTTGCAGACATATATAAAAGAAAGTTTTCTCCTATATCATTATTTATAGAATTAATCAACCATTAATTAATCATGTGATTATCAGCCTTCCATGTTTTGTACTTTGGATCATCTGACTTTGGAGTCTCGATCTCTCCAGTAAGATTTTCCTCTTTTCCTTTTCCACCAATATACATTATCACAGATTGTGACCATTAAAGAAAGTTATGGCCATTAAACTTGTGACTGATAACAAGAGATACAGCTTCATTATCGTGAGAGGATGAACCAGATATGTTGAGGTTATTGAGGGTAGAAGGATGTGAAGAAGCATCTGATGTGAGATTGCTTTTGTCATTAGCCATGAGATCTGTTGAAGAAAGAGAAGGCTAGAACAAAGATTGCTAGAAGAGATGAAGGTGAAAAAGAGGCTTCTAATGCTCTAATACCATGAAGCTTTTGGAATGAACTGATACTTTATTCACCAGAGGAAAAATGCCTATTTATAGGCTAATTCCAGAGGATATCCTAGTTGTACAATCAATGTTAATTCCCGTAAATCAGTGATTCTACCTATAATTCAGGGATTTATAATAATTAATATTATTCTTTAATTAATACTCATAAATCATTCTACAACTTCACCATCCTTGGTGCAAACGGATGGAAAAAAAACTAGGGTTCACTATTTGGATAAAACAGAATTGTCTAATTAGACAATTTATATTGAACTATTTGGTTCGGATATTTGGATTAGTTTTCAACAAACCAGATTATTATTTTACATTTCGGATTGGTTTTGGTTTATAAAATAATAACTGAATAGTTCAAAAAAACTGAATAACAATTTATTATTTATTTAATATATCTATAATTATTTTTTAATTTTATAATTTATTTTTTTCAAATAGGTTCAAAAAGTGTCGTCTAATAAAAAACATAAATATGTATTTTCTCTCAATAGTTTTTTATCTATAATATATTAAATTATAATATTACTTCTTAGTAGTTGTTTATAAATTTCAAATCAAAACTAAATAATTTGTTTTTGCTTCTTCTATAAAATGTTCCGGTTTTTGAAAACCTAATTTTAAAGTTCGATCCAACCGAATTGTAATTGGATCGGATCAGATCAAATTTGAATTTAATTTGAACTATTTGGATCTATGTTTTGAAAACCAAAATTATTTTGGGTCGACTTGATTGGATTGGTTCGAATCGATCCATCCAAATGAAGACCCATACAAAAAAAAAACCTCATACTCAATGGGAAACCCGAAACCTACACCCGGTTTGACCGGGGAATCCCCAAATTGACCGGGGATAAGTATGGGGATAGTCCCCGGTCCTCGACAATGCCCCGGTAGATATTAATATATAAAAACCATACAAAACATACGTTTATTGTAAAATATATGATACCTAAAATTTAAACAAAGTCACCCGAAATCGGATAGTAACATCCTCTTAAATCTACCACACGAAATATCATTTAATTCAAACAATTATAATACTATTTTAATAGTTTATATATTTTTTTTATTTAATGAAATATTTTGATTATGTTAAATATTATATTAAACTTATTTTTATTATTATTTGTATTATACCATAATAAAAAAAGGAACGAAATATGAAAGAGGTATAAAATATTGAGTGAGAATTAAATGACGACTGCATGACATACAAATGTTGAAAGTTCAAAGATATATAACACCTATCTTACTAGAAGGCTTCCGTACTTCCATTCCCCAGATATCGGATGACTTTTCAAATTAGTGGCTAGATTTCTTTGCAAACAATCTTTTATTCTAAAAACTTTGAAACGGAACACAGACGGAGGTTTTGTGCGATGGCATCACGGTTGTGGTTGTGCTTCTTCTTCGGCTTGATGATCACCGACGCCCTAACTCGAGCTCAAAACACCACCGATCCAGCTGAAGGTACTGCTTCATCTCTCTCTCTCTCTCTCTCTCTCTCTCTCTCTCTCTCTGTGTTTACGTTTTCATCCGTTCAGTACTTCAGTTATATTATGATCTCCGATTATGCACAGCTGCCATAGCTTTCTGCTCAGTGTGTGTGTGTGTGTGTGTTTGTAGGAAGAGAACATCGTTCTCTCATTATTCAGATTTCATTTTGAGTTTTATGTTCATTCGTATTAAAAGAACTTACTCAGTAGATTACCTAACAAATCCAGCATTTTATTAAAAGAACTTTTAATATTATCTTTTTTCGAACCGTATAGGCGGTGCCGGTCCAAGACGATTTGAGGCCCGAATAAAATTTGAGGCCCTTCACTGCTGCACCTCGGAAAATTTGTTAAATTTAAAAACTTAATACAATATTTTAAAATTGTCTTTGATCCCTTACAGACTTTGTTTTTATAGTTTTCATTTTTATTAATATAATTTCTTAATTATTATTTACTCCCTCATACATAATTGTTTGGACCGAAACTTTATTTTTATAAATTGTAGTCCACTTTGCAAATGAGTTCTCCATTGCATCGCGTGTCGTATTAAATACTAATCGTATAAAAGATAAAGTTAATACGATAAAACAAAATAAAATAAAAAAATCTTGTAAAAATCACCTTATAGAAGAAAACCTAAACCTAGCATAATCTAATTGATTAAATCAACCACGCGCAAAAGTTCACAAAAAAAATAATGTTTTGTTCTTGAATCAGAATTTAATCTCCTTTTGGAAGCTGTCGACATGAACTAATAATATTCCCTTCATTATTTTTTTATGATCTTTCCATTTGAATTTGTATAACATAATAGGAAATTTTGTTGTTGAATTGAAAGTTTTGATAGGATATATTTGTAGAATGCACTTTTGAGAAAAAAAAAAAAGAATATGTTTACACATAGAATTTCAACAATAACAATTTTTGATGTGGGTGATTTCTTCCTAGTGGCTCCACGTTTTTTAGAGGGGCCTTAACATTTAGTAAAATATATATATAACAAGGACCTTTTTGGGAGCAGTGAGGTTCGAACACGGATTAACAACCACAACCATTCCTACGCTTCAAACCAAATGAAATACAAGCACATTTGGTTATTTTTCGGATACGTATAGTATTTATCATTTTAAAACTATATATATAATATTAATCACTATTTGGGGCCCGAGATTTGGCGAGGCCCGGGGCGGTCGCCCAGCTTGCCCACCCTCTAGGGCCGGCCTGCTTATAGGCAATATATAAATTTGATCAATTTAATTAGTTTGTATTATCTTTATGAATACATAAGTATGAGTTATGTTTTATTTTTATTTGATCGAGTAAATTGTTAATAAAATAGTTTAGACCAAAAGTGTGAAATTTGTTAATACGTAGTTATATACCAAATTGTGATAACGTGGTATTATTATTTGCATTTAACAAATTAATTATTTTCAAAAATTAAAAATAAATAGAAAATATGTGCACACCAACCTAACCAAGGCCATATTATTTGACCAATTATAATGTAGAAAACTTTTGTACGAGTTCTAGAATTGACTAAAACAAACAAATTGACTTGTGAGATCCGTCAAATATGTATCAAGTGTAATGTCGCAACTGCATTCTTGAACTCTTTGTATGATAATTCTTTCTAGATTAAATGACGATAAACACTGCATATAAAGTTAGTTGTTGTTTGTCTTTTTGAACCCAAAATGTTTGTAGTCTGCGAACCACATCTTCAAGTCTTTGCAGCAGAAGAGGTGGGTCAAACGTCTGCAGTTTGCAATAAGAAATATGTTTGTTTTTTAACGTCTACATGCTATTAAAATAAACTGAATTTTAAGTCAACTGATTTTACAAACTTAAAATGGTTTTTTCAACACCAAAATTTTAATAATAATTGAAACGTCCCAAAAATACAACCCAAAAATTTTGTTTTTAAATCATTATTATAACCATAATATCATCGTCATAGTATAAAATGATAAATCACGTGTCTCAAAATATCATAATATCTGTCAACATATTAAAATCTCATATCAAATATCAGAGTAAATCTCTCAGGCTAAAGACTGTGGTGTGCGCCATGCGATCATCCCGAGCCCTTCCTACCATATACCATACAAATAACATACAACTAGGAGATACGGGCCCCACCCACTTTCATGGAGATTCGGGCCCCGCCCACACTCCGTTGTCTAGGAGATTCGAGCCCCGCCCCTTGTAGGAGATGTGGGCCCCGCCCACACTCCGCTGTCTAGGAGATTCGGGCCCCGCCCACACTCGGCTACTAACATGCGTACAAGCATCACATAGACAACAAGTATATCTATCAAGCAATCACATAACTATACTCAAATAATACTATGAGATTCGGGCCCCGCCCACACTCGACTGCTAGGAGATTCGGGCCCCGTCCACACTCAACTACTAACATAACACATATACGGGCCGACCTTGGTGCCTTTGACCCGTTCCTACTGAAAGGGAACTCACCTCGCAAGACTGACTGCTGAAAACTCGAGTGAGGAATTCGTGTCTGCTGCTCCGGCGACTCTCCGACTATCAATTCCATAACAACACTTAATCAAAATCTGATAATCCTTCTTAGGGTGAAATAACCATTTTACCCCTGGTCAAAGTCAACATCGTGGTCCAAGTCAAAGTCAAGGTCAACTCCCAGTCAACCCCAACTCGTCGAGTCATCTCCCAACTCGGCGAGTTCACGAACAACTCAGACACGTGGTCAACTAAGTCAACTCGTCGAGTCCCTTAGCAGACTCGTCGAGTTCTTCCTGTCATAAGGATCGGGACAACCCACTTCAACTCGTCGAGTCCTTTCCTAGACTCGCCGAGTTCCCCTGTCTGTTTGAGCCATCTTAATAGATTAAGCCCCTATCTTCTGGATCCAAGGTCCTTGGTTCGTTTGCTCACTGGAATGGCCTTTCTAAGGGTAAAGTTTCCAACTTTACCCGTTCATAACTCTTCTTAAAGGGTTTAGACAAAACCCTAATTCCTTTAGGACATGGATCTTGTCCAAAGAGCCTTAGAATCTCAAATCCACGCATGCAAACCTAGATCTAGGGTCTAGCTATCAAATGATCACTAAAAGTCTCGAGCTTGATTCCATTAATGGCCCTTTTGGGTTCAAAAGGCCATAAATATTTCTTTAGCACTTGCATGAGGACTCTAAGGGCATAAAGTTTGCACCTTTATGTCCTCACAGCCTCTCAAGGCACTAGATCTGGAAGAGTAACTCATGGGTTAATCCTTACCCACAACTTAGCAAATCTTGGACCAAAAACCCTCAAAAGAGGTCATAAATAGATCTAAGAAGAGAATGATCAAGTTTGAGGCTTTATTACCAGAAAATGTAGCTAAAGGAATGAAACTTCTGGATCTACAGTCTTTCTCTTGAGTCCTCCAACTTCTTCTTCTTCCACAAGCTTCAAAAGACACAAATAACACTCACAAGTGGCTCACACACTCAAAAAGCACTCTAGGGTTTCGTAGCTAAGGGTTTGGGACAAGGAGACTGCAAATGAGGCTAAGGGGTGATTAAGGTGTTTAAATAGGGTGCATAACCCTGAAATTAGGGTTTCACCCTGACTGAGCTACTCGCCGAGTCAAGAGCTTGACTCGCGGAGTAGACAACTTAAACTCCGCGCATAGTCAGCCTTCTATTCGACGAGTTAGGGCTACCAACTCGTCGAGTCTTTCTCTCAAAATAAATAAATAATTAAATTAAATGCGTACCATGGGACCGGGCGTTACAATAATAGTCGTATTTCATACACATTTCAGCAAAAAAATCAACATATAATGACTATTTTCAACAATAACGAGTCCTTTCAGCAACAATATGGAATTTCCAGCACTATTTTCATATTTTCAGCACTATTTTTCATATTTTCATCAACAAAAAACTTGATTTCTAACAATCTTATGGAATTTCCAGCAAAATACACTAAGGAATATTGATTTTCAGCAACATTTAACAAAAATTTTAAGCAAGAAAAGCTATTTTTATAAATTTTTTCGGATTTCCAACATCCAACAACAAATTTAAGCAACAAGAAGCAATTTCAGCAAAAGTAAACAACAAATTTCAGTACATTAGAGAGTTTTCGTGCAAGATTAAGTATTAACTTCAAGTTAGAACTAAAAAAACGAAACATGAGGTGCAAACATCTTCATTTTCAATGGAAATCGAAAAGAGCTTTTTTCGCCCCTGATCAGAAAGGAGCGTCTGTGATCGGAGAAGAGGGCGGCGATGCCCTTGCTTCTGACCGGAGATGAGGAACGGTGGTGCTGGAGCGAGGCAAGAGGCACGGGGTTGGGAGGCTTCGATGGGAAGTCGAAAGAAATAAGGAGGCGTCGATAAAACAAAAGGGCGTGTTTTTTTAGGTTAAAATCCTTCGCATACCTTAGAAGTGGCTAGTACATGTCTGTGTGGTGAAGACTTCTTTTTAGATCTGCACATTTCGAAAAACAAACACACTATGAGGTTGTATGTCTGCACGTGGTCTGTGCGGCGTAGACAAAAGTGATTTCACAGACCTGCAGCTAAAAAACAAACAACCCCTTAGTATAGTTATAATTAGGGATGAGTATTAGAACCACTGGAATTGGACCGAAACCGGAACCGGATTTAATAAAACGGTTCGGTTAGCGGTTCTCTATTTATAGCAAAGTCTATTCAGTTCCACAAAAAATCGGTTAAAAAACTGGAATTGGTTTTTATAATTCCGTAACTCACTCATATTAAGTAGGTATAACTTGATTTTTTTTCCATAATGTAATTTAGTGTTTTTTACTTCATTTTAGACTATAAAAAAACATATTTTGATTAAATATTAAATCATATACAAGCCCTAGAAGACAACATATAAATGTTGTGTTTTTTTATATTTCAACATGTTTTTTTTATTCTGTCCCGATTTTTAAAATATCGTAACTCATTAATATAAAGTCGAAATTACTTGATTTTTTTCCAACATGTAATTTAGTGTTTGTACTTCATTTTAGACTGTAACAAATCATATTTTGGTTAAATATTGAATCATATACAAACCTCAGAAGACAACATATCAATGCTATGTTTTTTCTGTTTCAACACGTTTTTTTATTCTGTCCCGGTGTTTAAAATACCTTAACTCACACATATGAAGTCGGAATTACTTGATTTTTTTTCAACATGTAATTTAGTGTTTGTACTTCATTTTAGATTGTAAAAAAACATATTTTGGTTAAAGCAGGACCGCGTCAACCCCCAACAAACCATATCATGTCGACATATACAATATCAATAAAAAACCAGCAAGTACAGATAATCAGGCTGATCTACCAATCTAGCCCATAATCAGTAAACACAGGTAATCATACAAATCTACTAGTCTATTGCATAACCAGCACGACATCAATCTAGTATACCACGATACATGATCCAGTGGGTCGGCATTAATGCCTTCGACCTATAAGTACAGTGAGATAAAACTCAGCTCACAATCCGAAATGTGAGCTGAACATATCATTGCTCAAACTGCCGACTCTACCGGTCACCTAAACAATAAACAGTGACATAAACTCAAACTACTACTCAAAATATCCCAAATGTCCTTAAGTCAAACTTGGTCAAAGTCAACGGTCAACGATCAAAAGTCAAAGTCAACTACAGTTGGTCGTCATGCCGTGGCGATCCCTAGCCACGCCGTGGGCACTGGGTTCCGAACAACTTAATTGGTTAAGTCATTTTCTTCGATTCTAAGAGCTGCACAACTCATATTTGGTCCATTTCATGGTCTAAATGGATAAAGTTTTCAACTTTATCTCTTAAGACCTTCCATGAGGCAAAGATCTCACCCTTAGGTCTAAAAAGGGTGAAAACACATCATGGCTTAATCATTAAGCACTTAATCTTTTAAGATCTCATGACCAACGATTCCAGATGGGTTCCTAGTACCAAAAATATCATAAAAATCCATGCTTTACAGACTTCCATGTCTAATGCATGTCTTGAACTCTTAATAGGTCAAAAACTAGGGTTTAATGACCAAAACTCCATGAATGACACCCAAACTCATTTATAAATAAGACCCAAGACATCAAATACTCCATTTAACCTGAAGATTCATAAAGTTGCAAACTTTATGAGATCCTACCACTCAAATCCATCAAGACACGAAGAAAAGGGACAAATCAAGAGATCTAGTAACATGGCAAGTAAAGGGTTAGATCTTGGACACTCACCAAGGTCCAAGAGATGTGCTACCTGAAGAAAATAATACTTGCCAACTAACTACTACACCAAGAGCTTCCTTCTCCTTTAAAATCACGAAAAAGCACCAAGAATGAGCACACAAGTTCAATGTAGTCTAGGGTTATGGTTTCTGAGTTTGAGAGGGAGATGGAGGCTAATGATCATGAAACCCTATCCTTAATGTTCTTTATATAGGCCCAAAGCCCGAAATTAGGATTTTCATTAACAACACATGCACGTCGTGCCAGGTCATTTAAATCCCGCGGTCCAAAACATTTTGCCACGTTGTAGTGATGCTCCACCACGCCGTGGCCACCCAAATTAAAGTTGATTCATACATGGAACGGATGTTACAATATCTATTTTTTCTAAACTTCAAAGGAACCACCTTCTCTCTCTTTCTCTCTCTCTCTCTCTCTCTCTATATATATATATATATATATATATATATATATATATATATATATACACACACACACACACACATATGGTTAAGCTGTTTTGAGAACTTGAAGATGCATGAGAACTAGAGAACTTAGAACTCATAATTTGCTCAATATTTTTCAAAATGAAGACCATGATTTGTCTCCAAATGTTGCGTCTAAACTATATGTAAGCTCAAAAGAAAAAAAAAACTTAACGATTTTGCCAACGGCACCATCCTTTTTTTCACTCTTATATATATATATATATATATATATATATATATATATATATATATATATATATATATATATATATATATATAGGCTTAGGTTATTTTGTTTCTAGTAACTATTGTGTGCTAGAATGCACAGATAGCTGTTTTGAGAACTTGAAGATGCATGAGAACTAGAGAACTTAGAACTCATAATTTGCTCAATATTTTTCAAAATGAAGACCATGATTTGTCTCCAAATGTTGCGTCTAAACTATATGTAAGCTCAAAAGAAAAAAAAACTTGAACGATTTTGCCAACGGCACCATCCTTTTTTTCACTCTTATATATATATATATATATATATATATATATATATATATATATATATAGGCTTAGGTTATTATGTTTCTAGTAACTATTGTGTGCTAGAATGCACAGATCTGGACCATAGGATGGAATATAATCAAAGGTCATGATCTGAGGGTCTATGATATTAGAATAGGATAACATGTACCATATAATCACACAAATTTCAGCATAAGGGCATTTTAGTCGATTAACCTATATTAAAAAAGGAAATTTTCGGATTTTTAGGGATAATTAATTCCTTTATTTTTAAAAATATGAATATTTTAAATTAATTCAAATTTAAAAATCCGATTTTATTCTGTCAGAATGATAGAATGCCAACCATAAACTAGTAAATATATTTTTCGATTTTATTCTGTCAGAATGACAGAATGCCAACCATAAACTAGTAAATACATTCTGAAAGAATACACAAAATCATTCTTGAACTAATAATATACCAAATAATTTCATTGTATGATTGTGATTCATTGAATAATAACAACATTCTGAAAGAAAAAAAAACATCAAAATCTAACAAAAACACTAATCTATTCTGAAAGAATATTATTTTTAAGCAACACTTTGTACATTGTAGCATAACACATTCTGGTATAATACACTCTCGTTCTCTATGTTTTCTTCCTTCTCCACATCAATGTTAGCCTCTTCAAAACCTAAATCCACAAAAAAAACATAATCAAGTTTCAAAATTTTAAAAATTCAATGCATTCTAAGAGAATAAAAACTATAAATTCTGACAGAATGTATTAAAGACTATAAAGTTTGACAGAATATAGTAGAAAATAAAAACTATAAATTCTGACAGAATGTAGTAGATACTATAAAGTCAACCATAAAGTATCACAAATTCATTACCAGTTAAACAAATATACTTGTTGTTAACAATTATTCTCAGACATTCTAACAGAATACATTTATATAACTAAATTCTAACAGAATACATTACAGAATTCAAGACCTGGGATTGAATCATCAACACATATCTGCATTCATTCTCAGTCATGAATTCAAGAAACAAACACACAAGGATTCCCCTGTCAAATACCGAAACCCAAACAACCATGAGTTATATCCCATCTATTATCATAAATTTTTTTAGGAAAACCTAAACATCCAAATTTCCATGGATTCAAATCAAAATAAGATGAAGATGAAGATCACCTGTTGGCCATGGATGCTTTCGTTAACTTCTTCTTCCTTCAATTAGTCAAGAATCGAGACCCTTGTCCCCCTCAAACTTGTTGTTTTGCTGCTTCCTTTCTCCCTTCTGTGTCAATGGCCAACAACCCCATTTTCGTGTTTTTCCTATCCTGACAAACAAATAAAAACAAACACTTCCCAATTTCAGTCTTTTGTTGCCATTCTCTCCCCCTAGTTGTTGGATTATCGAACCAGAGGAAGAAGAACAGGAGGCTGTCGGAGCATACCTCCGTCCACGTACCTGCAATCGCCGAGAGTGATGCCCTCCTAAGCCTCTTTCCCATCAAAAGACATCGCCAAACACTGACCATCACAAACACCACCGGATTCCCTCCCTGTTCGCTCCTCGCTTCTCACTCGCGTTCACGGACCCCACAACAGCGTCACTGCTCCTCCGCATCCCCTTCTTCAGCCTCATCGAACTCCAGAGTCCATCATCGATTGCGAGACCAGAGTCTGTCCTCCCTTTTGGATCCGTTGACTGTAGAAGAAGAAGCAGAAGCGGTGGATCAGATTTAGGGCTAATGTTCTAAATTTATCATCGTCCCTTGCGTGATATCATTGCGTGATATCAGGAATATTAATTATCTATCATAATTAGTTATACAAAGATTACTATAATACCCTTTTTGATTTAATTAATTATTTAATTATTTGCTAAATTGTGATTGGTGCATTTAGGAACACAATAGTTGCTACAAACATTTGAACCTATATATATATATATATATATATATATATATATATATATATATATATATATATATATATATATATATACACACACACACACACACACACACATCATAGCTTTTTTATTGGTTTAACCAAATATATTTTATGTTTAAGAATATATTGTCAATGGTTAAATCAATAAAAAACCAACATTTTTCACTCTTTTACTTTTTAAAGTTTAATGTTTAACCCCTAAATTATAGACAATATGATTTTCTTATTGTTATCACCCCTGAACTTTGTTAAATGTCACTTTCACCTCTTCGACTTTCTAAGTTTTTCCGTTTACCCCATCTACCGACAGTTTTGTCAGTGGTACCAACTTTGTATATTTATCTACAAACAATTACTTTTTATTTACAGAATCGTCAAAATTCATTTTACAAAACGTAATGGCCCCCGCTACGCACCACAGTCAAAATACTATAAATACTAGTTATTATAGTTATTATGGAATTCTAAATTTTGAGAACTCCTTTAGAAATAAAATCAGAATCCTAATTTGGAATTTGTTAATTGTTAGGATGAGGATGGGGCTTTTAGTATTTACCTAAAAATAAAGGATTGCGTTTGACAATTTGTGAAACAAATATCCGCCGACTTTTATACCATATTCGTCTGCTCGTTTTACCCCTTGAACGAGCATAATTCCGGTGGTAGCACGAGCTCGCTCTGTCTTTAATTAGTGAATTAAGAATAACGTCACTTGTAACAATGATTATGATCTCCATTATGAATGAAACTGAAGAAAATTGGTGCTGCAGTGCGAGTTATAAATGCAATGTTCAGCCAATGGGGGATACCAGAGAGCTCAGCAACAGAGATGGGATGGAACATAAGTGGAAACCCATGCACCGGCGCCGCCGTGGACTCTAGCGACTTTGGTGCCGATACCTACAATCCCGGCATCAAATGCGACTGTAATATCCCCAATTCTACTACTTGCCACATTACCCAAGTGTGAGTGCTTCTCTCCGTTCTTTCCCCTTCAGAGATACAACTTTGTCATGTCGGAATAAACATTAGGAACATGATCTTTGGTTGCTTCGTTTGTTACTTATTTGTATGTTATTTATCTTCTAACAATCATTCTCTCCCTGCAAATAATCAGAAAAGTTGTTGCAATGGATGCTGTGGGCCCAATCCCAGAAGGACTTTGGACTTTGACTTACCTTATCGATCTGTATGAATGCTGCTATTTCTTTACTATAATGTTATTATATTAGGCCCTGTTTGACGAGACTAGCTGAAAAGCCGGTTGGTAACCGAGTGTTTGGTAAAACGTAGTTTATAACTACATTGCAATGTAAAATGACATAAATAGACATTTAGATATATAACTAAAAAAGAATATATATATATATATATATATATATATATATATATATATATATATATAATTGAAGGCATATTTGGAATATTTTTTTAAAAATTTCATAAGCTTATCAAAAGCTATCTCAAAATAGCTTATCAAAAACTAGCTTATAAGCTAGTTCATAAGCTAAACTAAGATACTTTTGTGGTTTAACCAAACAGTAAATTAAAATAAGTTAACTTATAAGCTAGTTTATTTTTGCCAATCAGGGCCTTAGTGTTAACTACTATAGAAAGTTAAAACCTATATATATATATATATATATATATATATATATATATATATATATATATATATGTTTTATGAATATTTATGCTTGTATTATGCTAAAAAATGAATTGTTTGCTACAGTAATTTAGCCCAGAATTACTTGACAGGTTCCTTGTCACCTTCCATTGGCAATTTAAGTCGTATGCAGTACCTGTAAGCCATCCCTTTTTGCTACTTTAAACTCAAATAATGATTGTGACCTCTATATCTTTAAGAATACATCTGAGATTTCAGATATATGATGATGAATCTCAACTTTTTATAGGAGTTTCGGGACCAATGCATTATCAGGGCAGGTTCCACCAGAGCTAGGACAGCTTACTGACCTTAGATCTCTGTATATTTTTTTTATGCTTTCTTTGTCTTTCATCTTCCATCATTCAGTGACTTCTGTTTAATTGTTTGTTGATTATATTTGTGTTTTCTATATTCTTTTATGTTGCAGCTCATTTGGCACAAACAATTTCACTGGTTCCCTTCCATCTGAACTTGGAAATTTGAGAAGATTGGAAGGGCTGTAAGAACTAAGAACACCCATCTTGAACTCCTCTTTCATTACTATTGGAAATAAATCACCTATATTGTCTTCTGTTGTGCATATATGTAAACAATATATATTTTATTAATTACCTCATCTAATACCATCTTTGTTTATGTTCATTTTTGTCAGTTACATTGATAGTGCTGGAGTTGGTGGTGAAATACCTCCTTCATTTGCTAATTTACGGAACCTACAGATAGTGTAAGAGAGTTTATATTTAATGATGTTTATGGAACTTTATCCATCATATAAGAAATCATGATACTTTCCTTTTGGGATGTTTGATAAATGCAACATTTCCTTCTTGGAATGTTTTTATGTAACAATGACCTACTTCTACATTGTGCTAAATGATACACTTGGTCCTTTGACCTACATACAATCATACTCTTTTATAAAAATACATCTCATTTCCATCAACAACATTTATAAGTCCTACAAATAAATCCACAATACTATTTATATTCCAAAATAATACTTATTGCAACAAAATGTAAAATTTAAGATGTTACACAATATTCAAGAAGGAGCATCATATGTTTATTCTTCCCAGTTTTTAATAATTTGGGTCTTTAATTTGTTGTGGAAAATAACTCTTGGTTTCTCAGAGGGGCTTCTGATAATGGATTCACAGGCAGAATACCGGACTTTATAGGGAATTGGACACAGTTACAAGAATTGTAAGCAAGCATCTTAGATTATTTACATGTTTTTCATTTGGTAAATTTTCACTATAAGTTATCCTTGATGTTTCTATAGCAGGATTGAGGGAAACTCTTTTGAAGGTTCAATACCACCTTCATTTTCTAGACTGACCTCTCTGCAGGACTTGTAAGCCTTTGTTTTGCAAGTTACTATATGATCTTTTAACTTGCAGACTAAAATCTTACTGCTTTGGTTTTATAATGTTACAGGAGGATAATCGGTTTATCTAATGGAACTCTCGACTTTATTAGGGATTTGAAGTCCCTGAGTGTTCTGTAAGCTACTATATTGATTTTTTTTCTTCAGTCTAGTACCCATGCTCCCTTTATTATCCTGAAGCTAAGTATATAAAAAGATGTCATCTCTTGCAGAACTTTGAGGAATAACGGACTTTCTGGTTCTATTCCTAATGACATAGGAGAATATGTAGACTTGGTAGCACTGTGAGTTATCAGAATACATAGATTTACCTATATAATATAAAACAAGCTCTCCAATTGGGTGTCTACTTTCAGGGATTTGAGTTTCAACAATTTGAGTGGGGAGATTCCAAGAGGATTGTTCACCTTGAGTGAAATGTCTTTCTTGTAATACACATATACTCCTTCTTTGATAAATAATATTTGGTCAATAGGTCTTGGTATTGACCAGATTTACATGTCATCATTCTCAGGTTTCTTGGAAACAACAGCTTAACTGGTACTCTTCCTAATGTAAAGAGCAGAACTCTCAACAATATGTAAGTGGATTTGGTATTTGCAAAATTGATTATAGGTTGGTTAATCAAAAAGAAAATGATTTTTATTTTTCTAATTATCATACAATGTTCTATCATGCAGTGATTTGTCATACAATGAACTATCTGGGACACTTCCTTCTTGGGCCACTGACCCAAACTTACAACTGTACGTGCTTCATTTTTTATATTTCTTTGAAACTCTGACTTGCACCTTGTCTATTTTCTGTTAAAAAGTAGCAAACATACATTACTTTTTAGCATAATTTTCAAAGCTAATATCACATTTCTAGTTATTAGATATATACCTATCTGATTATGTTGTAATTATCTAATTATATTAGATATTTAAATTAGGATTCTACTTCCCAATGGTAGGTCTCATCTTGTGTATATATTGAGAGGTTGAGATTGTAAATATCAAGGAAATACAATCAACCCTAGCTGCCGATTCCCTACTTCCTTCTTCGGCGATCAGCTTTTTCCCATTCTCGTCTCTCTTTTTTCTCTATTCGGTATTAACTCTTGTTCCTTGCTAATCAATGGTTAACGACACCAAATTTCACCCAGATTTCACCGTTTAAAATATCAAGAATCTCATACCTATCAGCTTGGAGATGGAAAAGAGTTTGAAATACTTCCTCGTCCGAACTATTCAAGATTCACTGTCTTGCCTATCAAGTCATCAATCATATCATTCTTCCTATATCACCGCCACTGCTACCCTCCTAGATGTTGTCGCCAAAGAAACATGGACTCGTCTTGATGCTACTGTCCTTAGTGGATTACGATACGATTTCAAACTATCTACTCCATACCATTATTCCACCCAACTCCATCGCTTAGCAAGCATGGGAGCGCGCCTACAAAACATCTTTCCAGATAACAAGCATTCACGTGTAGTCATCTTGCAACTTATCGCCAATCTCATAAAGCCTTATGATGGGGTTGCAACTCTTATCCTTTCCCTTCTTTCTACGAAGTCTGATCGAAACTTGTCGTGGAGGAAACTTGAAAAGCAAAGCAATCTGCCTCCACCGCCTTATACTCCTCCACCGGTAGCTCCGTTGTTATCCCATCACCAAACACCTCCAACCTATTGCCACCACCACGACACCACCTAAAAATAGTGTTGGTGTGTGAAGTCTTGTTCAAAGCGTGCTTCTGGTGATCAAAGTGTGCTCTCGGTGATCAAAGTGTGCTTTTAGGAAGCATGGTGTCCCCTGAAGCATGATGTGCCATCTTGAAATCAAGATGAGCCCTTTGGAGCCTGATGTGCCACCTTAGAAGTACGGTGTTAGGATCGAGACACTTAACACACGACTCTAAACACACACACAGCTCATGAAAAACAAGAACACAAGGATGAACACGAGGGATTTAACGTGGTTCGGTCCTTCTCTGACCTACGTCCACCGGCAACTAGGAGTTTATATTTCTTGGTGCTAATCTGCACTCACTCTTTGTTGCTTATTTTTACAATACAGATGAGACTCATATATAGAGTCTGAAGTAAACAATTGAACAAGAAAAGCAGCCATGAAACATGCATCCGGGAAATATGGATCACCTCTCCTTTTCCACCTTTTTGACTTGCTTTTCTTCCATGTTTTCTGCCATGTTTTCTGCCTTTTGACCAGCCCAATGGCTTCACACTCAACAATCTCCCACTTGAAGCCACGAAACAATCTTCACCATAGCTTCAACTGTGTATCTGTATTTCTGTAAAAACTTTTGATCTTGACTCCTTCCTAGTTACCCTGACCTTCTCTTCAATTTACCTGAAGGCTAGTTGAAGCTTCCGTTAGCTCCAACACATCAGTCATGACTAAGTCTGCCACTGACCTGTTCTCTGTCTCCACCGGCTCCCACTGAAATGAACTGCCCGATCCTGGAACATCTTGAGAACAAACGACACTCTCCATATGAAGCAGATAATCTGGAGAGACTTTTACAGATGGAATACTGGTTCTCTTAACCCACTGTGTTCTGGGTATTCTAGCTGAAGCACAACCCTTGCTCCCACTGCTATGAATGCCCTTGACTGGTTTTTTTGAACCGTTCCAAACACGTTCAACCTGAATCTGACCTGTGACTCTGGGTTTGCCATCTGCAAAGCAAACCTTCTTCTGTCCACGAGACTCTATGAACCGGATTTTGTTTTTCTTCTGAACTGGGACGGTTACTCCCTCAGATGGTAATCTGACCATATATAATGAACCCTTCTTATGTCCACGAGCTATCACAAGATTTCCTTTGACAACCTTCCACTGCCCATTCCTGAACTTAACCTCGTGTCCCTGTTCATCCAACTGCCCAACAGAAATCAATTGTTTCTTCAGACTTGGAATTACCCGGACATCCTTCAAAGTCCATGGACCGACTGGAGTCTTCAAAACTAAGTCACCTATGCTCGTCACATCAAGAACCTCATCGTTCGCCAGTCTTACCTTACCAAAATCTCCTTCTTTTAGATTCTGCAGTGCTTCACGGCCGTGGGTAGCGTGAAATGAAGCACCCGAATCCATAACCCAGGAATCCACATTGCTCTCCACACTACAGATCAAAACATCATCGTCTGAATGGTCTACTGTAGCGTTAACTTCTTTCTTGTCTTTTGGACATTGATTCCTGAAATGTCCAACCTCTTTACAGTTCCAACAAGTCACATCATTTCGAGTCCTCGACTGACTCCTTCTCCTGTTCCCGCTCCCACTACCTCTGTTATTTTTTCTACCTCTGACCGCATTCAATTGTTCACTTGATGATTCCCCAGAATTTCTTCGTCTGACGTCTTCGCCTAGAATTAAATCCCGAATTCCCTCAAAAGTGAGCTCTTTCGATCCTGAGGAACTAGTAACGGTTGTAACTGTTCCGGACCAACTGTCAGGTAATGATGATAACAGTAGTAAAGCTTGAACTTCGTCCTCAAATTTTATTCCCACTGACCCAAGTCTGGATAAAATCGAGTTTAAATTGTTGATGTGTACTGTAACTGAACTTCCTTCCCTCATCCTCGTGTTGACTAGCTCCCGAATCAGGAAGACTTTATTTGCTGTCGACGGCTTCTCGTACATATTAGACAATGCCTCCATGATTCCCTTTGCCAAGGTCTCCTTCAAAATGTTGAAGGCAACATCCTTTGACAACGTCAGTCTAATAAATGCCTTGGCCTTCTTATCCAAAATCTCCCAGTTTGTCTGTGTTATCGCCTCCGGTTTTTCACCTAAAACTGCGTCCAAGTCTTTCTGCACGAGCAAATCTTCAATTTGCATCTTCCACCAACCAAAATCTTTCCCATCAAACTTCTCAATCTGAAGCTTACTGTTTTCTGCCATTTTCTGAAAGATTAGGGGCTAAACTGCAATTTTCTGAAAGTTCAGGGGCTAAACTGCAATGTTTCAAATCAGCTACAATTTTGCTACAGTGCCTGCTGACGTCACCGCTGACGTCGTGCTACAGTGCTTGCTACAGTTTCTGTTGACGTCACCGCTGACGTCGTGCTACAGTGCCTGCTACAGTGTCGTTTTCTCCGGCAGAACTCCGGTGCTACAGTGTCGTCTTCTCCGGCGGAACTTCGGTGCTACAGTGTCGTCTTCTCCGGCGAAACTGGTTTTTCCGGTAACTATTCCGGCAACCTTTGACCGGCGATTTGGACGTCTTCCGGTGGTCAAAAAATTCAGAAAAAAAATATTTTCGGAATCTTCAGAACGAGACCTTTCCAACGGTATACACCAAAATCGTTTTTGACGAAAAAAAAATTTCGACCAAAAACTGAAAATCACCTTCTTGAGCTAAAACCTTGCTCTGATACCACTTGTTAGGATCGAGACACTTAACACATGACTCTAAACACACACACAGCTCACGAAAAACAAGAACACAAGGATGAACACGAGGGATTTAACGTGGTTCGGTCCTTCTCTGACCTACGTCCACCGGTAACTAGGAGTTTATATTTCTTGGTGCTAATCTGCACTCACTCTTTGTTGCTTATTTTTACAATACAGATGAGACTCATATATAGAGTCTGAAGTAAACAATTGAACAAGAAAAGCAGCCATGAAACATGCATCCGGGAAATATGGATCACCTCTCCTTTTCCACCTTTTTTGACTTGCTTTTCTTCCATGTTTTCTGCCATGTTTTCTACCTTTTGACCAGCCCAATGGCTTCACACTCAACATACGGTACACCCCATTGGAGCATGAGGCATCATCTTGGAATCAAGATGCTCCCTTTGGAGCATGATACGCCACATTGCATGCAATATGCACCCTGCACATTCAAGATGCACCCTGTGCATTCAAGATGCACTCCTATATGCATGGTAGGTGGCCATGCACATCCCTTAAGATTGAAGATTCAAAAAGCACCTATATGGCGTCCCGAGATTGGTTGACAATTAGGGCATCCCTTTTCATGGGCTAATTATGGATGGGTTTGGCCCATCAGAATTAAGGTTTCTCATGCTTGCCTATAAATAGACACATACCACCTTCATTATTCCTTTATGCAGAAAGTTCAAGAGAGAAATCATTATGAGGTTGAGAGCACATCCTGTGGAGTGGTTAGTCAGCAAAATAGATTCTTTTTGTTTGAGATCTCAAGTGAGGTATAACCTTTGTGAGTGATTGTAATTGTTCCTAGAAGTTTAATAAAATCTTTTCTCTCTTGTTCGCGTGTGGACGTAGGTATTTTGACCGAAGCATGTTAATTACTTTTTTTTAATAGTTTTTAGAGTTTTATTCCGCAAGTTCTACCGAAATTCATTTATTGTTTGTCTGAAGTACTTAACTTGTTATTTTAGTTCCCAACAAATAACACTACTAACATCGTAAACCAAAGCCGAGGCCTTCGTCTAGCTATTGATAATAATATCTCTCGATTTCTACCCATTTGATTTTATTGTGAAAGATTACGCAACATGGACACATTTAATGCAATGCAAAGAGTCCTCAAGCCTTTAGCTCGTTTTCTTAAGATTTATGACGTCACTGCCTTGGTCACCTAGTCGCCTCTATTTTAAATTCTCTTGCTTGTAATAATTTCATTCCTTGTAAGAATCAAACAACTTCTAGCATTTTTCAATCATGTGTTTTTGGAAAACAAGTTACCTTTTTATTAAGTGTTTTGCTTCATATCCTTTCGATATTAATTATACTATCTTATGAACATCACCGGTTTTTAGTGTCGGGGAACACCGATACTATATTTTTTTTTCTTGATGACTATGTATATTTTCAATGGAACTTCCCCCTCGACCTTCATAGTGTTCACTAATATTATTTTATTTAAACACACTTTATAAAACCAATCAACGTATTCCATTGTGACAATGGTACCGAATATAATATTTATTTGTTTTACAATTTTTGTTCACAAAATGAAGTGGTCTTTCATTTTTCTTGCCCAAAGTTCTTTCTAAAATAACAAATCCGGATGGAAAATCCATTCCATAAACATCATTAGAGCTCTCCTTTCTCATTCTCATGTACCCATAGTTTTTTTTGGTACCATTCCCTTCAAACGACAACATACCACCTCAACCTCCTTCGTAGCAAACTATTAACTTTTACAACCTCCACCCAACTACTCTATTAAATACTTCTCTTTTATCACCACCTTCGGGTATTCAGATACCCATTATACCCTCCCATACCCTCCATCACGGTCAATAAATTCCAATCCCGCTCTCTATATATTGCATTTTTCTTTGCTATCCCGGTAACCATCGAGGATTTAAATGTTATAACCTTGCCACTAAAAATCATTCTTTTTCTTCATATAAATCTGGATGAAACAAAATTCCCTTTTGCGAACATAACATACCCAAAACCACCAAACTATACCCTTCATGAACATTAATCCCATTTTTCACTACCAAAACCACTTCCAACCACCTATGTCCCCCTACTTACCTCTATTGGCCGTGGACTCAAGCAACCCGCACCGCCTACCTATACGCAGTTGCCAGCCCAATTCAACCTCATGCTGGCGACATTGGCCCTTTACCGACTGCCTGCCAAAACCTTCACCTTCAGCCCACTCTACACGCAAACATGCCACCATGCTAGCCCCTATCCCATCCGACATACTACATTGGCCGTTCCTACACGGACAATCTAAACCCGTAGTATGTCGCGTACCTCAAACACCCGACATGAATATTATAGGGTCCATGTAAATTTTTTTTGACACAAAATAAACTTGGATGGGTCCTTTGAAAGATACAAGGCATGTTTGGTAGGGGTGGATGCTCACAACAAATGGGCATTGCTTTTCATGAAACATTTAGTTGGGTTATTGCTACCATATGTATGGTCCTCAGTCTTGCAATCTCTAAATCATGGCTTATTTATTAAATGTATGTAAAAAGACTTTCTTACATTGCAACATATGTGAGACCATTTACATGTACCGGTCGGTTGGTTTTAAGATCCATCATGGACTCGATTTTGTATGCTTACTAAGGAAGTCACCATATCTATACAGGTTCAAACAATCCCCTCGAGTTTGGTATAAGAGATTTGCCGATGACGTTTCCTCAATTGGATTCAATCATAACAAGTATGACCACTCGCTTTCCATCTACCAACATGGTGTTGGCTACCTAGTATTATAAGTCGATGACATAATCCTCACCACATCCTCTCATGCACTTCATCAATCATTCATGACACTCTTGGCTCGTGAGATTTCCATGAAGGACCTTGTCCCCCTAAGTTATTTTTTAGGGCCGTAAACTGAAGTGAAAATAGGATCTTTCTCCAACAAATACAATATGCCAAGGACATCATTAACCGGACTATGGATACAAATGCAAAACTCGACTCCACCATTTGCGATCCTTTTCTGGATCCAAATTATTTTCAAATTTTAACCGGCACACTTCAATACCTTACCTTCACCCGTCTCGACATCTCGTATGTCGGCCAATAAATTTGTCTCCACATGCACAATCCTCATACGTGTCACATGAATGCTCTCAAACATATTATTCATTACTTGCAAGGCACTACCTTTAAGGCTTACATTTATCCAAAACAAAATCAGATAACCTACTTTGTTACATGGAGAGTTCGATACAGATTGGGACATGTGCCTCGATACACGACGATTTACTTCCAACTATTGTGTTTTTCTAGGAGACAGTCTTATTTTGTGATCATCTAAGTGACAACCTATTCTCTCTCGTGTGGAGGCCAAGTACCATGACATCTCTAATGTTGTTACTGAGCCTTGTTGGCTCCGTAACCTACTTCTTAAGTTGCATTGTCCTCTCACAAAAGCCACTATAGTAAATTTTGATATGTTAGTGCCATTTTCGGGTGAACCTGGTTCAAGTTCAACTAACTAAACGTATTGAGATGGATATCCCTTTCGTTCTGGAAAAGGTTGCTTGTGGAGAGGTTTTCATTTTACATGTACCTTATCAACATCAAATTATCAATGTGTTCTACAGAGGATTCTCTTTGATGATTACAGGGACGGTCTTAGCATCTTGCCACCTCTAGCTTCGGCTACGGGGGACTATTAGATATACCTATATGATTATATTGTAGTTATCTAGTTGTATTAGATTAGGATTCTACTTTCCATAGATAGGTCTCATCTTATTTATATATTTAGAGTTTGAGATTGAAATATCATTAAGGAAATTAATTAACTCCTACACAAATGTGTATTTGCAGCCACATACTTGTGAACAACTTCACTTTAAACGATTCAGGATTAAATTGTCTCCAAAGGGATTTCCCTTGTGGGCGTGGATCACCAAGATGTAAGCCAAAAAAATGAACTTTCTCTTGTTAAGATTTTACATTTTTTTCCTGGTTGTTTGATCCTTATTTGAGGTTATTGTAACGTTTTTGGTCATGTTCCAAGTAAAATGGTTATATATTTGGGAGCAATATTGCCAAAAAAAAAGTTATACCTTACTTAGAAGAAGGACTAAATCGTTACAAGGATCGAAAAGAAGGACCAAATTACGAGAGCTTTTTTGGGATTAAAATTGGAAAAATCAGCTATGCCCTGGGACAAAAAATGTAATTTACTCTAATGTTTTTTATTAAATTGATTTGTGGAGTACTCTTTTCATGTTGATTTACAGATAGTAACCTTGGAATCAATTGTGGTGGCCCACAAATTACATCCTCAAGTCAGATAGTCCACGAGCAAGATAACAACCCTCTTGGTCCAGCAACATACTATTTGACCCCCGAAATGAGGTGGGGTGTCAGCAATGTGGCACGAAGGGACATCCCTTCTAACAGCATAGATCCCACCCAACGCTATTTCAACAACACAATAGCCTCCAGTGTAAACCAGTTCACGGACACTACAGATTCAGGACTCTTCCAAACAGCAAGACTCTCCGCTGGATCATTAAGATATTACGGTTTAGCCCTCGAGAATGGTAACTACACCGTAAAACTCCAGTTTGCAGAAATTGTGATTGAAAATGGTCCCACTTGGAGAAGCCTTGGAAGACGATTATTTGACATTTATATCCAGGTCAGTGGTAAATAACACTCTTAGGGGCTGTTTCTTTTTTACTTAATCTGGACAGAATGACTTAATGGATTAAGCTAAAAATCTTTCTTAATTTATTAAGACACCAACTCTTTACCTATTTGTCATTCTTCTTTTTCTTCCCTCGTTAAAATTGATGAATATTAATAAAATTAATGAGTATTGTGAAATTAGGTTTTTGGAATGTAATGTGAAATGGTCATATAATATCATTAACACGATTTATTTGGTCAAGAAAACAAACAAATTTTATGTATACAACGCTTTTTACTGTTAGATGCATAAAGATAAGCATTGTTTACTGTTATATGCAAAAGACCAAGAATTTCCATAAATTTGTAGTATTTAATTATTCATAATAACATTTGTTCAGATAGACACAAGAACAGTTGTAATGAACTCTTGAAGAGAAAAACCAATAATAATTTACCTCTATTAAATTGAAAAGAGAGGGAGGGAGGGAGATCCCTAATATGGGGGAAAACTTTTGTGAAGTTTTGTGAGGGTATTATTGGAAAAATTAATATGAGATTACCACTTAATGTTAAGGACATCTATTTCTCAACTTAACCTTAACATTAAGTAGAAAAGAAACAACCATATATTTGGTGGAAATAGCAGATTCAGTCAAGTTTCAAATTTTGTTGCACGGGTGGTCCTCATGGCTTCACTTTGTTGCAACCTTCGTCCCTGGGTCATTAACTTTTTTTTTTTCTTTTTCCAGGGAAACCAGGTGTTTAAAGATTTTGATATTAAAAGGGAAGCAGGGGGGGCTTCATTTAGCCCTGTTACAAGGGAAGTGACAGTTGACGTTATAAATAACTACCTTGAGATTCATCTATTATGGACTGGAAAAGGAACTTGTTGTGTACCTGATCAAGGAACTTTTGGACCTCTCATATCAGCAATCAGTGCCACCCCAAGTATATATTCTTTCTTGAAGTTTATTATTAATTCTTGGCCTTGATACTTTGACAAAATGACAACATTTCCCTTTACTATATTTGTGTACAGATTTCATCCCTAGTGTGAGCAACAATCTGCCTTCCAACAACAAGAACAATAATACCGGTTTGATTGTGGGGATTTTAGTTCCGATTGGAGCTGTGAGCTTTTTGACATTATTAGCCCTGTATATTCTTCGTCAGCGAAGGAAGAGGAAGGATACATCCGGAAAATGTGATGAAGGTTGTCTTTCTGGATCTTTCTTTATGACAGAGGAAAAATATTTTAGATTGGTACATTTGGATTTCTTTTTGACTTTTCCTTACTTGCAGAGTTTTTGGGAATTGATCACACAAGGCCATATACTTTTGGTTATGGAGATTTAAGAGATGCAACGGATGATTTTAGTCCTGCAAATAAGCTTGGTGAGGGTGGTTTTGGACCTGTTTACAAGGTAAGGTAGTTTTTTACTTTTTTTATGAAGAGTATGTTTTCGCTTCTTAAACTCGAAGTAAACTTTAGTTGGCCAGATGGAATGGAATAACAAAAAATGGGATGACAAGGTTATGGAGTAAGTGAAACAAATGATGAAACTTTTAAGTTGTAACAACATAGGAAAGAGATAATCTACTATAATTACAAGATTAAGGACTAAAATACAGCTAACGTAATAGCTAATTTAGGTCAATTTAAAGCTGTAAGTACAACAGCTGTTAGCTGTATAAGGATGTAATATTTTCAACACTTCCCCCTCAAGTTGGTGAATTTTTATCAATCATAGTTAAACCATGTAAAAGGTAATGAATTGTGTATTATGAAGCGTAGATTACAATCATATATATATGTTAGATAGTTACATTTAGATACCCTCTTATATAAACACTATCAATAGACTATCTAAACATATGTCTAACATTCCCCCGCAAGATGAGGGCGGGGAACGACCTGCAGCTTGGACCGTAAAAAGAGAAATCTTTGAGAGGATAAAGGCTTAGTGAACACATCAGCAATCTGATCATTGGTAGATATAAATTGTACTTTTAATTGACCTCGGGCAACTTGTTCACGAACAAAATGAAAATCTACTTCAACATGTTTTGTTCGGGCATGAAAAACCGGATTTGCAGAGAGATATGTGGCTCCAAGGTTGTCACACCATAGCGTGGGAGAGAATTTTGTAGAAACTCCCAGTTCATGTAGGAGAGCCCTTAGCCAAAGCAACTCAGCAACAGTGTCTGCAAGAGCCTTGTACTCGGACTCCGTAGAGGACCTTGAAACAGTTCGTTGTTTGCGAGCATTCCAGGAGATCAAGTTGGACCCCAAATAGATAGCAAACCCTCCCGTGGAACGTCGATCGACCGGGCAGCCAGCCCAATCAGAATCAGAGAAGGCGGTAATTTTTGAGCCATCAGTAGGTTTCCAGCAACTATCAGTGAAAGCTTGAAGGGAGGAGTCCGAGTTGTGACGAAGAAACAAACCAAAATTAACAGTGCCTTTGAGATAGCGCAATATCCTTTTGACAGCAGACCAGTGGTTCTCAGTGGGAGCATGCATGAACTGACATACCTTATTGACAACAAAGGCAATGTCAGGTCTAGAAAGCGTAACATACTGAAGTGCTCCAACAGTTTGTCGATAGGCAACAGGGCTGGAGAGGTATGGACTATCATCGGGAGTCAAGATCTGAGTAGTACTCATGGGAGATGATACCGGCTTACAATCTGTTAGACCGGAGCGTTGAAGTATGTCCAAAATATACTTGCATTGGGACAAAAGAATGTTATGGCCATGGGGAACAACTTCAATACCCAAGAAGTAATGTAGTGTGCCAAGATCTTTGATGGCAAAGGTAGATCCCAGTTGATGAATGATCTGATCGATAGCCTTAGTGTCATTACCTATAACAATAATATCATCCACGTAAACAAGAACATAAACAATAACACGGCCTGTTTTGAGAATGAAGAGAGAGGGATCTGTTTTGGATCCTAAAAATCCAAGACGGTGAAGAGCCGTCGACAGTCGGGTGAACCAAGCTCGTGGGGCTTGCTTGAGTCCATAAAGAGATTTGTGAAGAAGGCATACATGATCGGGCTTGCGAGGATCAACAAAACCCGGTGGCTGTCGGACATAAACTGTTTCACTGAGATCACCATGCAAGAATGCGTTTTGGACATCTAACAGTCGTAAGGGCCATTTGTTTGTCACGGCTAGGGAGTGTCGTTTTCATTGGTAGTGGGTGCTTCAGGATATAGCTCTGGTGTGCTTGCAACATGAGTGGGAAAAGTGGAGACATAAATGGGTGATGTAGTGGGGTTGGATGGTGATGGTGAAGGAGAGTGAAAAGGAAAGACCTCTTCATTGAAGCGGACATGACGGACGATGTAAATGCGGTCAGGGTCAAAGCATCGATACCCGTGATGAAGAGGACTATATCCCATGAAGACACATGGAGTGGAGCGAAAATCCATTTTGTGTCGGGTATATGGTCGTAGGTGTGGGGAGCATTGACAACCGAAAACCCGAAGGAATGAGTAATCGGGTTTTCTATTGAAAACATGCTGAAAATGTGACTTGTTTGAAGAGATACGGGATGGTAGACGATTAATGAGATAGACAGAAGTTTCAAAGGCAAAATGCCAAAAACGTTGTGGAAGGTTTGCTTGTGCAAGAAGGGCTAGACCAGTTTCAACAACGTGACGATGGCGACGCTCAACAATGCCATTTTGCTCACTAGTGTATGGACATGAACGTCGATGGGTAATTCCAAGAGAGGTGAAAAAAGGAGATAGATTGCGAAACTCACCCCCCCAATCAGTTTGAACAGTTTTGAGCTTGGAATTAAACTGTCTTTCAACTAACGTGACAAAGTTTTTGAAAGTGGAATAAACATCGTATTTGTGAGCTAACGGGTAAAACCACATATAACGAGTATGATGATCAACGCATAACATAAAGAAGCGATAACCATCAGAAGATAAAACGGGTGCAGGTCCCCAAACATCACAATATATCAAATCTAAAATATTATTGCTTTGAAAGTTGGAACTAAATAATGATAATTTGGAAGACTTTCCCAATTGACAAGATGAACATAATGAAGAACATTGTTTTGTAGAAACTGCTAAAGAACAACTAGAAACAATAGAACTAAAAACACGTTGATGTGGATGACCAAGACGTTGATGCCAAATGGTTGAGGAAGCTTTGGTGGTAGTGAAAGCAATCTTAGGAATATACTTGAGTTGAGGAAGGCGTACAGAATAGAGACCATTATCACTTGGACCCGTGAGAAGAGTATTGCGAGTTGTTTCGTCCTTCACAACAAAAAAAGAAGAATGAAATTCAAAGAAAACTTTATTTTCATGACAAAATTGTTGAACAGACATAAGATTCTTTTTAATTGTCGGAACATGAAGAATATTAGAAAGAGTGAAAGTTTTGTGAGGAGAGTAAATTTTGGTAGAGCCAATGTGAAAAATAGGAAGAGGTTTACCATCACCAACATGGAGAGAGTCAGAGCCATGATAAGTCTCTGAAAAATCAAGGTTGGACAGATCAGGTGTAGTGTGGGCGTTAGCACCGGTATCGGGAAACCAGGTTGCGCCTAAACTTGGGCCGTGATCAGAAAAGGCAGCAAAATTGGCCTGAGAAGGTTGTCGTGTTGGGGCAGAATTTTGCTGATTTGGACAATGAGAGGGTAGATGACCAATACCACAACGATTACAATGACCATAAACTGTATTTTGAGTAGAGGCCCATGCAAATTGTCTAGAACCAGAAACCACTGTTGCCACTATTATCACGCCCCCGATTTTGATTTTGAAATTGATTGCGAGAATTATTGTTGCGGGTGTTGCCACGACGATTGTCTCGATTGTTGTTGGGTGGACGCGAGGCATAGAAAGCTTGTGGAGAAGGCTGTTGGGAGGCGATAGGATTCAGTTGAAAGCCTAACTGAGATGCCAATTGTTGAAGACTTTGAATGGCGTTTCCAGTAGAAGTAGCAAAAACCTGTGGTGATGCAGTGACGGTAGTTGTAACGGGTTTGTTGATCATGTAATCATGATCACTTAGAAGACCATGTAACTCGTTGAAGCTGATTGGTGGGTGACGAGCCAAGAGAGTCGACTTCAAACCATTGTATTCTTCCCGAAGTCCCGATATTGCAAGCATAACAAGATCTTTATCCTTCATTGGTTCACCAATGTTGGCAAGGGCTGTGGCATATTCTTGAGCCCTGCTTAGATAGCCCTGTGGAGATTCATCACCTTTCATGGCAATTTTAAGAAGCTGGGTTTTTAGTGTGTATTCACGAGAGGCGGTATTTGGTGAGTATGCCCGTTCAAGGGCTAGCCACAGTTCTCTAGAGGTTGCTCCTTGGACATGTTGAAACGAAGCTTCAGAGATGGTGGATATGATAATCATCCGGACATGTGCATCATTGGCTATCCACCGGGGATAACTAGGGTTATCCGTGATTGCGTCTCCAGTTCCCACTTTCTGTGCTGGACAGGGTATCGTGCCATCTACATAACCAAATAAATTGTTGGTGATGAGAAAGGGTTCAAGCATTGCTTTCCAGTACCCATAGTTGGTGGGAGAGAGAGTGAAAGCAAATTTATGGGAGTTATGTGATGTCTTTTCTGCAGTAGAGAAGGCAGTAATAGTAGCCATGCGAGTTTGAGTTGATCACCAGTGATTGGAGTTGAGCACAGGATGAAGCCGTAAGAGACTTTTCTGCAGTTAGGGTTTAGAGCCGTAAGGTAGGGTTTACTTGGCTCTGATACCAAGTTAAACCATGTAAAAGGTAATGAATTGTGTATTATGAAGCGTAGATTACAATCATATATATATGTTAGATAGTTACATTTAGATACCCTCTAATATAAACACTATCAATAGACTATCTAAACATATGTCTAACAATCATTCCCAACTTGGATACATTTGACTCAAAACTTACCCTCTGTAACAGTTTAGTAAGAATATTGGCTTCTTGATTGTTCGAGGGCACATATGAGAGTTTTATCTATTCGCTTTTAATCTCTGACTTGATGAAATTATATCAATAAGAACGTGCTTCATGCAGTGATGTTGTATAGGATTATGAACATTTGCAATCACTGATTGACGATCACTGTATAGGTATACATCAATTTTCAGTTCCGTTAATGGTAGGTCCAGCCAAATTATTTCACAAATTCCCTGTGCGATGACACGATACTCTGCTTCTGCACTACTTGTTTACACGACTGATTGCTTTTTGCTTCTCCAAGTGAACACATTTCCCCAAAAGTTGGTATAGTGTCGATTGTTGTCAATTATCTGACCAATCTGCATCATCAAAACCCTCAATCTTTTGGTTCTTGGCTTTTTATATTATTATTTTATAGAGCAGTCCTTTTCAGGTGTTCCTTTCATATATCTAAGAATTTGATTAACTGCATTTTGATGGAGAACAGTTGGAGCATGCATAAATTGACTTACCTTGCCAACACTGTAGGCAATGTCCAGGCTTGTGAGTGATAGATAGATCAGTTTTCTTGCTATTTGTTGGAATTTCCATTCCAAGAAAATATAGTTGCTGGTCTAATGATTCTCTTCATTTAAATTCTTCCCTGAAGAAAATCACGAGAGTAAAATGGTTGATCTATGAAAAATGTGACTTGATAGGATGTACATAACGTTTTCATGAGGGGTTTGAAACATTTGTACACTTTTTGTGTAGACGTGTATACACACTTGGTTGATTTTGATCAATTTTTCCTCTAATAAGACTACTGGTGTGAATAAAGGCTGAACACCAAAAACTTTTGGAGGAAGGGAATTAATTACTATGGACTCCAGAAAAGTTTTTTGAAGGACACTGATTGCACAGTCTGGAATTCTAGAGGTTATGAGGGAAGCCGGTTTATGAGATAGGAAGCAGCCAAGATTGATTCTCCCCAAAAAGAATTTGGGACATGACTAGAAAACATGATCGAAGGTGATACCTCTAAAAAATGCATGTTTTTTACAAACGACAATCCCATTTTGTTGAGGATTTGATGCAAACGAATTCTGATGTGAAATACCATTTTCTGTGAGGTAGCTTCCCAGGTTACTAGAGAAACATTCTCCCCCTTTATCTGTTCGGAATATATGAATATTGCTTTGGAATACGTTTTTTTAATCATTTTGTGAAATTTTATAAACTCATCCGCAGCATCCGTTTTTTTAGAATAAAAAATCTAACATACACAAGTATAGTAATCTATGAAGGCGATGAACCAGCAGTCAGAAAGGCCTGTACTTATAGAGTACAACCCTAAATATGCACTAACCTAACCTAGATCTGATACGATGTGAGAGAATCAGATATCTTGAAAATATTTCACTCTTTATATAACGAGTAGAAGCCTTTATATATATATTTACAAACTACATAGCAAACTAGGAAACTAGAAAAAGATACTTTAAGAACTGATAAAACCTTATTCTACATATATGGTCCATTCCATTCCATCGAGCAAAACAAACAAGATTTCATTCGTTCCGACAGAATGAACCATTCTATTCCTTCTCCGGATTCCATCATACCAAACACTACCAACACAATGTTAAAATCTCTATAATTTTAAACAGGGAACACTTGAAGATGGGAGAGTAATAGCTGTCAAACTACTCTCCGTAGCCTCACACCAAGGCAAGTCCCAATTTGTTGCAGAAATTGCCACAATATCCGCAGTCCAACACCGTAACCTCGTGAAACTCTATGGATCCTGCATCGATGGAGAAAAACGACTTCTCGTCTACGAGTATCTTGAAAACAAGAGTCTTGATCAAGCATTATTCGGTAAAAAACAAATTACATATTTAGACATCAAGTGTAAAGTACTAGAGTATAATGGTAATAATGTTACATTTGGGGTATGTGATGCAGGAAGCAGCAGATTGTCGCTTAAATGGTCAACCCGTTTTGATATATGCATGGGATTAGCACGGGGTCTCACGTATCTCCATGAGGAATCACGCATACGGATTATACATCGAGATGTGAAATCTAGCAATGTTTTACTTGATTCTGATCTGAACCCTAAGATATCGGATTTCGGTCTGGCTAAACTTTATGATGACAAGAAAACACACTTGAGTACTCGTGTTGCAGGCACATTGTAAGATTAATTAATTGAAATTTGAAGTTATTCTCATTTTAAGTAACAGACTAACAGTGAGTTGATTAATTCTTGGTGATTCATTGTGTAGTGGATATCTTGCACCAGAGTATGCAATGTGGGGACACCTTACGGAGAAGGCCGATGTGTTTGGGTTTGGAGTTGTGGCTTTAGAGATTATCAGTGGAAGGCCCAACTCTGATTCGAGTTTGGAAGATGAGAAAATATATCTTCTTAATTGGGTATGTTTTATCTTCTTCTTCTTCATAAATGAATTTATGCACTCGATCTACTCTTACCAAGCAAAAAGAAGGATTCATATAATACACTAATTAAAGAGAAATTTACATAAAAAGGTAATATAATTTCGGTCATAACTCTTTTAAGGTATCTAACTTCTTTTAAAAACCAGACTAAAAACTTTGAAAAAAAAATCTATTTAAGGTAACGAAGTTCTAAATTTTTCTCAATTAAGGTAACAAACTCTCATGTATGTACATATGTATGTATGTACGTCGGTCGGTTGATACGTACACACGTGTTGTGGAATAAGAAAACTTGAATACAAATTTCCCTAAAACTCAAACATGAAAAAAGTCATTGTTAATGATTTTGAAAGTTGACGTCTTACCTGTGATGCATTTTTATAATATTTACTGGCCTTTGGTATGATTTTAGGCATGGAAGCTACATGAAGGTAATCGTGAATTAGAGTTAGTGGATGAAGAATTGTCTGAATTTAATGAGACCGAAGTGAAAAGAATGACGAGAGTTGCCCTTTTATGTACGCAAACCTCGCCAACACAACGGCCATCAATGTCACGTGTGGTGGCAATGCTTTCCGGAGACATAGAAGTAACTGGTGTCATTACTCGGCCAGAGTACCTGACTTATTTTGAGTTTGATGACTCTACAACATTTAAGAGTGCTACTCCAACTTCAACTATGAATTAGGTATGTGACCTAATTTCCCGTCATGATATATATATATATATATATATATATATATATATATATATATATATATATATATATATATTTGTAAAGTCACTCGATTCAGACGTTACTTTTTTTTTTTGAAGATGTTGAACGCAAATGTAATTGTTATAATATTGATGGTATACATGACTTATAGATAACTTTTTACAAAATAGGGTTTTATGTTGGCACAGTTAAGTCAGCCCACATCGTTTCTTCCCAACATCATATAGGATATTTATTATGTACATAGTGGCTCGTTAGCTAGATGACATAACACTTGGTTACCAACAAGGAACCTAATCCACATTGGAAATAGAGCCATGCTGTAACGGTTGAAACTCAAAACCTTGGTCATTTCTGCAACTTTACCATCCCAGTCCCTAGACGACGTAACTATGTCCTTGGTCGGATAGTAACCTGTTAACTCAACAACTTCTTGGATCATTTAATTCGGAAAACTAATTAGTACTATTTTATACATGTTAAAAATGTAGAGCATAGACAAAATGGTCCTGTGACATACATGTTAGTAAAATAGAACATAAGTTATAATAATCTCAATTTTTTTATGGAGTAGATGCAATGTACAGTAAAACCTCTATAATTTAATACTCGATAAATTAATAACCTCAATAAAATTAATAATTTGTCCGGTTCTAGCTTGAGACCAGTACAAAATTGGATCATAATCGATAAAATAATAATTTTTTTGAAATCCAAATGTAAATATATTGGTCCCAGCGAAACTATAAATTAATAATTACTAAAATATTCCAAAATTCTATAATTGTCTAGTAAAAAAATGAATCTATAGTCACTTGTTTTTTTGTGAACTTCAAATCTATATTGAGTTCATCTTTAAATATCCCAATTGCACTTAAGAGTTGAGGCACTGTATTCTCGTATTGCAACAAAAAGTTGTGAAGAGTTGTTGCTGCTTGCAATGCTTCTTTCCGAGTGACCGGTTCCAAAGGTACTGAATCATCATTAACTTCATCACCAACCGAATTTTGAACGGTATCCGCGATAATTTCTTCAATGCTTTGAACCTCATAACATTCATTATTTTCACCTAGATAATCCAACAACTCATTCACATCCATTTTGTGCTGATAATGCATTCCCGTAATCAAGTTCTCAAGCTCACGAATGTCTTCTCCAGAATTTACATCGTTTAAATCATTTGAGCCGGTTGGATTAATCGAACAAATTTTACAATGTCGAAAGCAATTATGGACTCGTGTTTCACATTTCTCCAAGCCGAGACGGCCAAGTTGATGGCATCTAAAATATTAATCTTTCCTAGGGAAGAAATGTCCAACTCATAACCTTCCAAAATCTTACGATAAAACCTTTTACGGTAGTACATTTTAAAGGCTCTAATTATCCCAACATCACATGGTTTAATTTTTGAAGTCATGTTTGGCGGTAGAAAAAACAACTTGATGTTTTGCAACCCTTGAATATTTTTTTGAATGGGTTGGACATATATCCACTACCAAGAGAATTTTTCGACCGTGCATTTGATCATCTAGCCAACGAACACATTCTTCGAAAAGCAACCCAGTCATACATGCTCTTTTGTTGGCACGATATTCACAATCTAAGCTATTCATGTTGACATTCTTAAAACAACGTGGCTTTGCATACTTACCAATGATCCATACAGGAATTTTGTATGAGCCATCCGCATTGCAACAGATAACAATTGTAAGTCTTTCCTTGTCCTGTTTCTTACCTTCAAGTTGTTTTGTTCCAAGTAAATGGTCAGCTTGTAACCTGTAAAACAAACCAGTTTCATCCATATTAAAAACATCTTTCATTGGAAATTGATTATTTTTTTTCCCTTATAGACTCCAATTTATTCTCCATGTCATGTGTGTCGACTGATCCACTTTCTCCAAATTGGCGATACGATATGATACCATGCCTTAACTTGAATTTCTCAAGCCAAACCTGTGAAAGATTATGCTCAGAAGAATCATGTAGACACAAAATCTTCAACGTCTCAACCGTCTTCTCTATGATTAACTCTCATGTTATATTTAAATGCTCTTGATGTTGGAGAAATCATTCATAAACAACTTTTTGTATGTCCGGATACTTGGTTGCTTTGTGACGCTTGGAAGATCCATCTTTATCAAGGTTAGCCGATAGGAACTCCGATGATCTCTTAAGAGTGTAACGCCCCGACTCTCAGGTATTAATTTTATGGATTTAATTTTCATATTGCAAGGTCTACTCGACGAGTTGGATGCCCTGACTCGTCGAGTAGGAGCGGGTTTGGTCACGTGTTTAAGTGACCGACTCGCCGAGTCCAAGATAGGACTCGACGAATAGGAGTTGGGGGATTAAACCCTAATTTTCGGGGTTTTGCACTCTATTTAAAGAATCATAAGCCTCCTTCAGCCTCTTTACAGTCCCTTGAGAGCTCAGCAAAACCCTAATACGTGTGTGTGTGGGCTCCATTGTGTGTTTTAAGCTTTGGAAGAGGATTCTTGGTGAGAAGAGCTTGGAGATCAAGTAACTACAAGCAAGGAACTTGTGTGGATCTGATATCTACCTCAGTTGACATCTAGTGGAAGGTATCAAGTCGTTACCTTGACCTCATTTCATTCTAGATCTCATTTGGTTAAAGATTAGGGCTTTTCTAGCATAATAAGAAGCCATTCATGGGTATAAGCTAAGATCTGAAGTTGTAACTTCAAATCTGGACTCTCCTTGGTCTCTAAGTCCATAAAGTTTTCAGTTTTGGCAAGTATGAACCTCTCCTCAAGTTTAATACTCCATTACAAGCTTGGTTTTGTCATTATAAGACTTTAGAGCCTTGCATGCACGTAAAGTTTGCAACTTTACGTGATAAACATGCCTTGGGAGGCTGGATCTGCAATATGGAACCTTAAGATGGCCTAATAAGCATCTGTATGGATATGGACTGAAGGGACTCGGCGAGTCAGTGGGGTGACTCGGCAAGTCAACTAGGGTTATCCCGACTTTTAGACACGCATAGACTTGACGAGTTGGTCGGAAACTCGGCGAGTCAGTGAGGGTTTTATGACCTTCTGAACTCTTAAGGAACTCGACGAGTTGGGTCAACATGGACCGTTGACTTTGACTTGGACCAAGGGTTGACCAGCTTGACCTCTGGGGGTATTTTGGTAATTTGGGAATTTATGGAAGTAAGTCATCGGTGGATGTAGGTGTTGGATTTGGAGCTGCATTTGGTTGAGTTGACTTTATCGATTCGAGCTACTTGAGAGGTGAGTTCTCCTCACTATATCAACAGGATCTACGGCACCAAGGTCAGCCCTTTATAATTTACATCATGGTTTAGGATGGTTGCTATGTTATTGATCTGTTAGATTTCATCCTGGTTTTAGGATGGTTGCTATGCTAGTAATCTGTTAGATTGATATCATGGTTGTAGGATGGTTTCCATGTTAGTGATCCGTTAGATCTGTATGACTATCTGTTATTGCATGCTAGCGTATGATATTTATGTGCACATGTTTATTGGTTTGGGGAAAGGGTTGAGGCAGGTCCTGCTGTGTACAGTAGGCCAAGACACCCTGGGCGGACCGGGTAGACTGTAGGCTCGGGCCGGGCAAATCTAGTCAAGCCGAAGGCCCAGCGAGCGGTCCGGATAGGCTGAAGGCCCCGAGGAGGGCGGTCCAAACGTGCCGAGGGCTCGGAGAGCAGTCCAGATAGACTGAGGACCGGGATTCGGTCCTGATGGCTCATTATGCATGTTGTTTGCCTATATGTTATCTGTTACCGATATGTTTATGGCGTTGGTATTTTGGGGGTAACTCACTAAGCCTTCGAGCTTACATTTATCGATTATTGTTTCAGGTACTTCTGATGATCGCGGGAAGGCGAAGGCATGATCATACCGCTCCTCACACTTTATGATTTTATGTTTTGATTCTGGGATACTCTGTCAATATGCTATTTTGAAAACAAGTTTTGTAATAATCATGGGTTTCGAAATGTTTTAAAAAAATGGGTTTAAATTTGGCATGATTTTTATGGATGTTACAAAGAGTGTTTGATATTGTTCCTTGACTAACTTTCAAATCGAAAGTTTTGTCAACCGACTTCACCAAATCTTGTTGAGTGTATCCTTGGTGATCTCTCTGATACTCGTATAATAGTTTTCGTTGTTGATTGGTCATCGTTGATTTTTTTAACACCTTTTAGTTTAGAAGCCATAGTTGATGTGATTTTAAAATTTATCATTTGACAAGTTCATTAATGTGTGAATGTACATGGGAATTTTGAAGGTGCTTGTTTCTGTTTTATTCAAATAGGTAAAGTGAACGGACATGAACATTTTGAAGGTCGAATGCATTAATTTGATAGTTGCTCACGAATATAAGCCAACTCTTTAAATTAATAATTTATTAATTCATCGATATAATAATATCTTGCTAAATTAATAAAATATCTTAGTCCCAATATTATTAATTTATAGAGGTTTTACTATATGGAAATAAATAATGCAATGATATATCCCATTTTAGAACTCCTCATGCCAACTAGCCTTAGAGTGATCTTCCATTAATAAAACTAACTCACCTGACACTTATAATCCTTGCTAGGATAATGGAACCAACTCGATAACGACTCTACTAGCCAAAGAGTGTTTGATATTGTTCCTTGACTAACTTTCAAATCGAAAGTTTTGTCAACCGACTTCACCAAATCTTGTTGAGTGTATCCTTGGTGATCTCTCTGATACTCGTATAATAGTTTTCGTTGTTGATTGGTCATCGTTGATTTTTTTAACACCTTTTAGTTTAGAAGCCATAGTTGATGTGATTTTAAAATTTATCATTTGACAAGTTCATTAATGTGTGAATGTACATGGGAATTTTGAAGGTGCTTGTTTCTGTTTTATTCAAATAGGTAAAGTGAACGGACATGAACATTTTGAAGGTCGAATGCATTAATTTGATAGTTGCTCACGAATATAAGCCAACTCTTTAAATTAATAAT